AGAAGGTGGTAGACCTCTCGTTTGAGCAGGGTCTCATGAGAGGGGTCCCTGAAGAGGGACGTGGAGGGTGGAGTAGTGGGAGGTAGAGACAGGAATGGTATTGTAAACCCAGATGACACAATCTCCAGAATCCAACGATTGGAGGTTATACTTGTCCAAAGGTGGTAATACGGCCTCAGGCGGTAGTGAAAAGTGCCTAAAGGATGATGTTGCAGAATGACCACTGTGTGTGACTGGGAGCCTCGACAAAGGAGTCAAACCTGCTGCTTATTCACAGGTTGGCCTGGGGTATGGTTATTTTGCATGCGCCTTCTTTGCAGTTGTTGTCTCGACCTGAACTGATCGAAACTGCGTTGAAGTTGATGCGGCCTGTTGAAACCATAGCACCTTTGATATGGGTAGCAGCACTTCCGGCAATAGGAGGGCGTGTGCATCCCCAGTGTTCTGAGGGTAGTACAGGAGTCCTTGCCAGAGTGGAGGACCTCATCTATGTTTTGTGCAAAAAGCTTCTTTTTGTTGAAGGGGAAGTCTTCCACCTTGTTTTGCAGCTCTTTAGAGACCCCAGCAGACTGTAGCCACGAAGATCTTCTCATTGCTATTGCCATTGCCATGGATCTGGCAGCAGTGTCAGCTACATCTAGGGCAATTTGAAGGCCTATCCTAGTGGATGCGTATCCTTCCTGTACTATGGATTTTAATATTGGGAGTTTCAACTCCGGGAGGTGGTCCATCAGAGCTGTCAGCTTGGTATAGTTGTCGAAATCATGGTTCAACAATAGCCCTGCGTAATTAGCAATGCGCAACAATAGGGTTGTCGAGGAGTATACTTTCCTTCCAAAAAGGTCTAGCCTTTTGTTGTTCTTGTCGGAAGCAATACCTCTGTACTGGGGAGCTCGTGAGCACTGTTGGGTGGCACCCACCACTAGAGGGTTCACTTGCAGGTGGTTGAACAAGAAGTCCAGCCTCTTTGATGGTACAAAATACTTCTTGTCTGCTCTTTTACTGGTTGGGGGAGCCGAGGCAGGAGTCTGCCAAATGTCTTCCGCTGACTCCATAATGGCCTCATCGATAGGGAGTTCTATTTTGGTGCATTGCGCAGGTTACAAATTTTTCAGTAGATGATATTGCTTGTCCTTCACTTCAGCCAGTTGAACATCTTGACTTGCCACTACCCTTTTAAACAGCTCTTGAAACTGTTTGGTGTCATCAGGGGGAGACACGTCCCCCGGGATCACCGCCTCATCCAGTGAAGATGGCAACTGATCGTTTGGTGAAGAGTCGGGCTGTTGCTCTTCAGTGGCCGACAATTGCCCCTCTTCTGGCTCTGATTGCTGCACCTGAGGAGGTGGCATTTGTGGTGGTATCGGATCCAAGGATCGCTCATTCTCAATTATGACCCTCGGAGTGTGTCTGGGAGACCTGCAGTAGCAAGGTTGGGGGAGCTGAGGCATCACCTTCTGGAATGGTGATGCAAAGTGTGATCCCTGTGATAATAGCAGTAGCGGCCAGGTACAGAGCATCTAGAAGAGCACATAGGAGTATAGTGTGTTTCATATTCCATATGAGGTGATCATGGCGATGAACGAATGTAGCATACAGAACCCCTAGAGGAAGTTGGCGGTGAGATTGAGCTATTCTTGTGACGGTGCCTAGCACAGAAGTACAGTGCCGGTACATATGATGGGGATCTGTAGTGCCGAGTATGCATATAGTGCTCCCGTAAGGCTTGAGCAATGCTTGGCACCGGCAAGGTCAGTGCTGGCAAAGATGGAGATAGTGCCGGGGAAAAAGTTGGTGAGGGTGACAAAGGTGTAGGGCTTCTATGCCTATCGCAGTGGCCTTTTGTGGTGCTGTGGAGTCGCTTGGCCGTTGCAGTCTTGTCTCCTGCTGCGGCACTGGTGATCTGCTAGACACTGACGGTGCCATTGCCATGACTGCTGGCAGTGCCAGCGGTGCCACTGAAGACAGCTCAGTTGTCGGTGCCAGTAATGCCTGGGGCTTCAGTGCCACCACGGCCCTTGGCACTGTTGGTGCTGTATTTGGCATCTTCTTTGGTTTCGCAGCCGGAGCTGGCCTTGAATGTGAGGAGGTGGTACCAGATGTTTCCGGCTTCTCCCCCACGCTCACTCTATTAATAGAGTCTGGGGGCAATGAGCGCACTGGAAACCCTTTTCTTTTTAAGCAGAGCCGCTCCCAGAGAGGACACCCTGCACTTCTGAGATGATGAATGGTCTGAAGTTGAAGGAGTGTTGGATTGACATCTGAGGGTTGGAGCGCCTTGTCAAACAGAATCATGCATAAACACATTTCTCTATTGCACCTCGCCCTGACCGTGAGTTTCGAGCAGTGGGTTCATTTCCAAGGGACATGAGCCTCGCCCAAGCATCGGATGCATGAGGAATGTCTGTCAGAGGCCGGCACTGCCTCACGGCAGAGGTCACATTTCTTGAACCCCGGAGATCCCGGCATTGTTGGATGACCTCTGCTTTTTTTTTTTTTTTTTCTTTAAAGTCTTAGGGCCAGAGAAAGAACCGAAGGTTTTCTTTGGTTTTTTTTGTTTTGTTTTTTTTAAACGAGAACTAGAACTACTACTAACACTACAGCTAATAACAACTAACCAATATATATAATTTCTTTGTTTCCTGACTAGATAGTGAGGAGACAAGGAGAGCTCTGTCTGTGTTGAGAGGAATTGACAGGGTCCAGATAGTGTGCATGAGGCAAAAGGCACGAATGGTGCAAGACATTGTGCATGTGCATGTGCAATCTGGCCGACTACGGTTACCGAAAATCTCCAAGGTGCAGCACCAGGACAGGGCCCAACACCTAGAGCGGAACATCCATGGGGATACTACTCGAAGAAGAAGTGGGAGGATGGCAGATGGAATGGTTGGAGCCAAATGCAGAATTTAAATGGCTAGTTGTGGAAGTCTTTGTTTCTCTGTTCTCTCCTCAAGGAGCTGAGGGATCTCCAGTAGCATGTAGTAACTGAATCTAGTGGAATACTTGGAGTAGAACATCCAGCCACATCCTCCCCATAGCACCCATGCTGCTACAGCTGCTCTGGGCACTTCTAGGCACTTTGGCAGTAGTGAGAGCCCATCACTTTGAAATGTTTATTTATTATCTTGGTATGCTGCCAACATTTGCCTGAGGAACAGAAGGGACAAAAGGGAAATAGCAATTTTGAACTATAACTATCTCAGAGCAATCTGAACAGAATTACTTGGAAGAAAAGCCTTAGACCAGAGATTCTCAAACTGTTTCAGGACCCCAAAGTGGGTTGCCAAGGCCAGTATTAGACTTGCTGCAGCCCAGGCCCAAAGCCAAAGCCCCAGCCCCACTGCCTGGAACCAAAGCCCAAGCCCAAGCCCCACTGCCTGGAGCCAAAACACAAGCCCCACTGAACCTAAGGCTTTGCCTCCCCTCTGATCCTGCATGGGGGCTTAGGGTGGTCTCAGACTTTAGGCCTCACCCCACACTGGGGTCATGCAATAATTTTAATTATCAGAAGCAATGAAGTTTAAGAATCCCTGCACTAGCCCAAATGAATTTCCCTGATCAATTTCAAAGGCCTGTTACAAATAACTGATGTGTCAGAACTTCTACAAACATACACACACAAAAAATTGAAAGAACACTTTAGGAACATAAGAAAGGCCATACTGGGACAAACCAAAGGTCCATCTAGCCCAGTATCCTGTCTTTCAACAGTGGCCAATGATAGATGCTCCCAGAGAGAATGAACAGAACAGGTGATCATCAAGTGATCCACCCCGTCACTCATTCCCAGCCTCTGACAAACAGAGGCCAGGGACACCATTCCTACCCATCCTGGATAATAGCCATTGATGGACCTATCCTCCATTAATTTATTTAGCTCTTTTTTGAACCCTTCACAACTTCCTCTGGCAAGGAGTTCCACAGGTTGACTATACATGTGGGAAGAAGTACTTCCTTTTGCTTGTTTAAACCTGCTACCTATTAATTTCATTTGGTGATCCCTGGTTCTGATGTTATGGGAACAAGTAAGTAACTTTTCCTTATTCACTATCTCCACACCAGTCATGATTTTAGAGACCTCTATCATATCTCCCCTTAGTCTCCTCCTTTCTAAGCTGAAAAGCCCCCGTCTTTTTAATCTCTCTTCATATGGCAACCGTTTCAAACCCCTCATCATTTTTGTTGCCCTTTTTCTGAACCTTTTCCAATCCCAAGATAAGGAGAGAGGATTATAGCAAATTGACCATCACACCTCCTTTTTGTGGGGTGGAAGAGCACAGATCTAGGATTTGTTTGGAGCAGCATTAAAGTGATGAAGTAAGCTAAACAGAATGCTGATAATAATCACTTCCTCATCCTAGTGAGAGAAACGCTGTAGATAATCCTGATAAAATAGGCCTTGTGCATAGTAGGCAGGTCTCATAATTGGAGCTCTTGGTGTTACCATACTACGGCATGCAAGGTTCTCAGATGTGATCACCCTGATTTTGTAGTGTAGACATACCCTGAGGGAAGTGAGGTGTGGGAGAATAAAACTGAGCTCTGGAGAAATGTTTGGCTAGAGTTTCCCCTACAATATGTACCAGTTCCGACTTACATACAAATTCAACTTAAGAACAAACCTACAGTCCCTATCTTGTACGTAACCCGGGGACTGCCTGTAATAGAAATGTTTCTGTGAGGTCATTGCCAGCTTTCCCTGAAATATTAATGGATATTATATCAAGAGTCATGACCACTGTGTATGTATTGAAATAAAACATTTTATAGTTATTGCTTTAAAAATATTGTTTTGGGCTGCAACCGTTCAAAGACCTATACTCACAAAAACTTTATAAACTACAAGTAATCATACAGCAGTAAATGGGATTACTTGGTGCATAAAGCTAGACACGTCCATAACTCTTTACTGTGCAGGGGTCTAATAGAATCAAAGAAACAGCATTTGTGAGAAAAAAAACTTTTAAAAAATCAGTTATATTTCAATAGATACTTACCTGCATTATTTTTGTTCCATTTAATTATAAAATTCAGGTCATCCAAAGCAGCTTGATTTTTTTCTTGAAAGAGGTAAATCAAATGTCTGTGCCAATAAGCATTAAGTAGAAGTGGTTCTAAGCTTATGGCCTACAAAAGAAAATGCGAAACAAATAATTTAATATGTAAATAGTGATAGCAGTTTCTTAAATGAGCTAGAGGTCCCCTGAACACAAAGGATGTCAAAGACTCTGTCCAGTACTGGACAAAGTTCTATACATTTGAAATACAGATATTATGCAAGTAAAATGTGAGGTTCCAATTTTGAAACTCTTATGTTCATGTTTAACTTTAAGAACGTGAGTACCCCCACTTGCTGATTGCCATATTTGGGGTCGGGAAGGAATTTTCCTCCAGGGTAGATTGGCAGAGGCCCTGGAGGTTTTTCGCCTTCCTCTGTAGCATGGGGTACAGATCACAGCTGGAGGATTCTCTGCATCTTGGGGTCTTCAAAGTATTTGAAGGCTTCAATATCTGAGATATAAGTGAGAGGATTATTCTAGGAGGGGTGGGTGAGATTTTGTGTCCTGCACTGTGCAGGGGGTCAGACTAGATGATCATAATGGTCCCTTCTGACCTTAAAGTCTATGAGTCTATGATTCAAACTAAGAACATGTTTAAGTGTACACAGGATTATTCTGAATTTCAGAAATATAGATTAGCTTGGGAAAGCAATATAGTTTATCAATTTTTAGAAAGTAAAACATGATTAAATGCTAAGAGAAACACAAAAAAGGTATGTTGGAATTGCTGATCTATCTAAAGGTGAAAAATAATTGGCATTTCCCAGTTTATAAGAAAATATCAGAGTTGACCATATGTGAACAGTATTATTGTTATTGCTGTGAAAAACATTATTGATTCATTAATAGAAAGCACTTGACTGTGATCTTAGCACATTAATGAGATCTTATCAAGCGAATAATTTCTTATGCATTTTATTCATCGTGTTCATAATATTCATCTCACATAAGCATGGGGAAAATTTAAGAGTATACATATCTGCCACTGGTATGCTACAGTCTGGATTTGTACATCTTTCTGACACACTGCCATTCTCACCTGTTTTCTAAGGCTTTGGAGGAGGATAAAGATGGGCAATTTAAAGGATAAACTGATATTCTGTGAATATGATAGGTTGTCTGGTCAGGTAATTTTAGATTGTCTACAAGATATCTAGAGATTATAGGTATTATTGTGTATTATAATGTAAACAATCAGAGCATGTAACAGATATCTATATTATTTTATAAATCAAAGTAAATTAAATAGATACATATTTTGCACTTATATATCATTTTAGAGGGAAAGTCTGCGGCAAAAGAGCTGATTTCTTAATTATAAAACAGTAAGTTAATTTAAATGTAATAAGTTGTATAAATGTTTACTAGAACCCAGAGAGAATAAGTAAATTGGATCCAGAGCAGGTACATTTTTTTGATAAAACCATCAAAACCAGATGAAGAGATTTTTGTCCATATGCTTTTGGTCTATGCACAATGGGTATGTCTAGACTACATGGCTCCGTCGATGGAGCCATGTGGATGAGTTTACTAGACATAGGAAAATTAAGTGGTGATTTAAATAATTGCAGCTTCATTTACATCAAAATGGCCACCGTGCTGTGCCGATCAGCTGTTTGGAGGCACAGCGGGGCAGTCTGAATACGCCGCAGTTGACAAAGGAAACCTTTGTCGACCGCTCTGGTAAACCTCATTTCACGAGGCATACCGGAGCGGTTGACAAAGGCTTCCCTTGTCAACCGAGGAACGTTCAGACTGCCCCACTGTGCCGCCAAACAGCTGATCGGCACAGCACGGTGGCCATTTTGATGTAAATGAAGCTGCAATTATTTAAATCACCACTTAATTTTCCTATGTCTAGTAAACTCATCTACATGGCTCTGTGGATGGAGCCATGTAGTCTAGACATACCCAAAGATTTGAAAGATGGACAATGTGAATGTGGAATTTATAGTTACTGCACCTATCTAAAATAAACACTATTACTGATCTGAAGACTATTGCATCAAAAAATGTCTTGGTGATGGGCACATTAGAAATACCTAAAGTCGACAAGCAAATTGAATAAGCACTATTTGGATACAATTTGAATTAATAATGAAGATAAGATCCCCCCAACAAAGACAGATTGGAGAGTAAACCTCTCTCACATTAATGACCTTGAGAAGCAGGACAGAACAGGTAATTAAAAAACATGAATAAACAATTTATTTATTCTTCAGGGCTGAGATTAAATATCATAATAATCATGATTTAATGTGTATATTCCAGTAGTGTTTGGACACCAACCAGATCAGAGTCCCAATACATTAGATGCTGTACAACACATAGTAAAAGTATATAAATATGAAAACTACATTATTGGATATAAGTGAAGATTTTTACATTAAATAAAACTTCTCCTTTTAAGTTATATACTATAAATTTTACCTTTTTATTTTTGCTGTTTATAATTTATTTTAATTGTTTTTTATTATGCTTAGTTTAGATTGTGTCATTTCTTGGGTGAAGGCGAGGAGTTTCTCTATTAAGTGGGTACTCTGTAAATTTCTTATAGATTTAATAGTGTTCAAAAACAAACATGCCTAATACCAGTGTAGATTTATATATTCTAATTATCATAATCATATTTATGTTAGTAAAGCATAAAAATATACTGCCCCTTATAAAAATAAAGGCTTGTACCCAGGAGTCTTGGAGCAGCTGGGAACAAAAATAATTTAGGGTACATCTACACAGCAGGGCTATCAATCATGTAGCTGGAGTCGAAACAGTTTAATTCAGATTTTGGCACTGTATACACAGAGGAAGTCAAAGGAAGAACACTCTTCCTTTGACTTTCCTTACTCCTCATGAAATGAGGGTTATGATGAGTCAGAGTAAGAAGTCCTTTAGCTCAACATTATTTTGAAATAAAGACTTGTAGTGTAGATGCTCACTATATTATTTCGGAAAAATATCAGTTATTCCAAAATAATGCTGTTGTGTAGATGTACCCTTACTGTCAACTTTCAACACACTCCCTTACCAGCCAGAAGACAATTCAGAGCCTGTCTAGCTTGGGACAGGTGCTACAGACTTCAAGAAATATTATGTTACTAGAGGACTTTGTATTCTGGCTATGTATCTCAATTCCCCCAATATGCACCTGGGACCATCCCATTCTGGGGGTACATCTAGACCAGTGTTTCCCAAATGGGGTTCCATGAGGAGCTGGCACTCCCCTGCCCCCTCTGAAAGAGAGAGTGTCAGCTAACCAGCTTCTTAAAGAAGCAGCACACTTGTTTTCCCTTCCTCCCTGGTGACACAGAGGTGTATCAAGGCAGGGGCAGAGGGGAACAGTTGCTCCCAGCTGGCACACGAAGGGGTGCCAGACAGGGGTGACCCCACATGACCCACAGTGGGGAGGGAAGCACTTCCCCTCCCCAAAGGAGCTGGCGTGCTCTGCCTGAACAGCTGGGGCTGTGGCACCTGGTAATTTAGTTCCGCGGCCTTTCTGCGCATTTGGAGGGGAGGTCAGGAGACCCGGGTCTGCATAGCTCCGACTGTACAGACAGTGCTCTCTGCCTTGGGACGCCCCGCACTTTCCCTCCTATCCCCACACAGGACAGCATCGTGAAAGTAAGTTGCTGGAATGCAACAGCCCCTGCTGTTCAGGCAGCGTGCACGCCAGCTGTTTGGGGAGGGGAAGTGCAGTCGCACACTTCCTGGAACCCAGAGGTGCTGCAGGATTGCCAGGTACTGGTCCCAGCTGC